AGGAGTACCTGTACATCCCTCAACTCAGAGGGTTCTTGAAGAAGATTGTATATGTATTCAAAAATTCTTCCATACAAACAACACATACACACAATATGCCCATTTTCCTTTCTAGCAATAGCAATAGCACTTAGACTTATATACTGCTTTACAGTGCTTTACAGTTCTCTCTAAGCAGTTTACAGAGTCAGCATATTGCCCCCAATAATTTTACCCATTTTACCCACCTTGGAAGGATGGAATGCTGAGTCAACCTTGAACTTGGTGATATTTGAACTGCCAAATTGCAGGCAGCTGGCAATCAGCAGAAGTAGCCTGTAGTATTACACTCTAACCACTGCGCCACCAAGAAATTTTCTTTTAGAAAACATCTAAAGGATATTTTCATGGTTGGTAAAATGAAATGTGAGTTTTCTGGGTCTTTTGGAGGAGATACTTACAGGGTTGCTGAGAATATACTGTGAATCAAATATTAACCAAATATTTCTGTTGGAAAAATGAGTTATTCTCATAACACAAATATAAACTTCATTTGGGACAGATATTTAATGTAATGAGAAAGATGTAAGGATGATGCTCATCAAGGCGAGATAGACAAACAGTCGAACATATCTGAAGGAACCACCAGATTGATTTTAGCATTTCATACAAGTGTTTGATTAATAATTTCTAAACATACTGTCTGTGAACTAATGCATTTCCTCATAGTTGTTATAAAATGCTTTAAGCAATGTCCTTAAAATTATTCAGCTGATTAAATAATTCCTTAGAGCAACCGATTAGTCTAATTTCAGTGGGAATTAAAACATAATTTTATCTAATGTTGTTATCTAATATTGGGATAAATTAAACTTAAAATAGAGACCCAAAATGATAGAAACTTAAAAATCTATCTCTACGGCACCTGAAAGATTTTGTGACCCAATATTCTATAGGCCCCAATGACATTAAACCTGATGTTATTTCTCAGTCTCTCTAGATTTCAGGCAACTGCAGAAAACAAGGAACACTGGGCTTAATTTTCTATGTAGTTACCTACAGTAACAGTAAGAGAGTTGGAAGGGACCTTGGAGGTCATCTGGTCCAGCCCCCTGTTCACGCAGGAGACCTGTACTAGGGATTCGAACCGTCGAACTGCCGACCTTTCTGATCGACAATGAAGGCAGAATTTGTTTTTAGGAGCATAAATTTTATCTCAACTCACATGCAGCTGTTTTTACTTTACCTACGGCATTTTCTAATGTTGATGGTATAGAAATACTGAGCATGACTGAGAAATAACTTTTAAGCATTTCATAAAGGAGAGAAATATTCCAATAATTGCATCAATACAATTCTAATTTCTTAATATATGTAACAGGAAAATATTATTAAAATAATGTAGCAAGGTTAAACATTTAAATACTTAACATATCTAAAGGTACTCTGCACCATCACTATCAACTATATGAAACCAATTAAATTTTCAACTGACATATATTCTGATAATAATGAATATTTAAAGCAAATCAGAATAATATTTAAAGGAAATTAGATGAATCAAAAAAGTTTAATTTCCACTATTCCATGGAAAAACATTGACCTATTGCAAATGGGATATCCAGTTAATTCTTTTGTTTTGCGCTGAAAGAAATATTCTACTGTATTATAAAATAGAAATGGCTTATGACAAAAATATTTGAGTGCATTCTAGTGGAGATCCTACAAGAATACAACTCATCTGATTGAAACATAATTAGGAAAAACAAAATGTGCAATTTTAAACCAGTTCCCTAATAATGTATAAACATCAGTATCCTACATATTGACTGGCAAGACATATTCTTTTATTTGAGAAATTGCAAACCAGTTTTATTATCCTGAAGTAGACTGTCAAATGGTAAAATAGGGAAGCTTGCTTTTCTATATGAGATGGGGGAATAATAACTAAAAGACTATGAAAAACAATTAAAAAACATCTGTAGCCAAACTTCCTTATAATGCATACTGGGATTCACCCCAAGTAAGGGAGAAAAATTCTAAAAACTAGCGGAAACATTTTTGTTTGTATAATTAAACCATAACTGTCCCCTTTTGTTGAGTACATGCAGCCAGCCACATACAAATCTGAAATTAATCAGATCTGAAAAATGCAAAACATCTAGGTGGGATATTAAACTACTCTCTTTATGAATGCAAGATAATTAATATTAAGGTTTTCATTCTAAATGGCGTAACTCAAAAAGCCCAACAAAAACCTTCTAAACAAGGTTTTCATTAATCATTCATATTAAGGTTTTCATTCTAAACAGTTGTGAAATTGAAGATTTCTTCTTATTTAACTAGATTATAAATGTACTTGTTTGATGTTAGATCTGACAAGTGCAATTATAGCTTCAAAGTACATGCTTTTAAGGAGGAAAGGAAATGAATCCTCCAATAAATAGGGTTGCCAGGTCTGCTTCCAAAAAATAGCGGACAAGCGGGGGGGGGGTGTTAAGTAGTAAAAAAAAATAAAAAAAATTTACAATTAAATTATATATTTTCTTAAAAACATTTTAACACGTATTAAAATAATCACTTCAAAACTTTACTTAAAATTCAAAACATCAAATATATTATAATAATATGTAAAATATTAAATTACATTTTAATTTCATCATAAAGCTTTTGAATAAAAAAAAATGTCCACTATTTTGTGAAAAAAAATAGTGAACATAATGTGAAAAAAGCGGACTGTCCGCTCAAATAGTGGACACCTGGCAACATTACCAATAAATAAATAAATATATAAATTACTTTTGTTTTTCAGGCATTAGCAGTGGTGGGTTCGGCCGAGCTGGTAGCGGTGACGATATGACATCACCGAACCGGTTCTCCCCCCCCCCCCCCCCCCCCCCCCCCACGTTATTCTTACCTTTTATTTGGTCCCACCCCCAATCTATTGCTGCCTCCTGAGTCCCAGCTGATGACTAGAGGGAAAAAAACTGTTTAAACTCTTGCCACGGGGCTTCAAAGGACCATCCTACAGCTGATCAGTGTTAAAAGCAAACAAATGAGTCGGGTTGTAAGTGCGAGGACTGGTCATAAGTGCGAGGACCTTCCAGAAATGACTGACCAGCTAGCCACGCCCACCTAGTCACATGACCTCCAAGCCACACCCACAAAATAAGCCACGCCCACAGAACCAGTAGTAAAAAAATTTAGAACCCATCCCTGGGCATTAGTATATGAATTCTTCAATCTCTCCTTATTATTAAATGAGGGAGAATAAATCAGATGGGGATGACTATAAACTGGGAACCTAGTAAAATTTAATTCATGAGAAAACAGTTGCCTACCCTACAATTTATTACCATAGATAAAGCTAAGACTGTCATCGGTAAATGTGAATATTGGCTCCATTTCACTACATGGGATACACACCTTCTAGGAAAAGAGCTCCTCTTCGATTCTACGTATGAATTGGAAGGATGAAAACATCTGTGTTAGACCTTCCTATCGAAAGGGCTCATCTTATTTTCGTAAGCTTAGCCCAGGACACACAGGAGAGGAACATTATCTTAAAATAGTTCCAGAACATGGATATTAAATACTAGTATTTCTGTCTATTTTTAAAGAACCATCTACAGAAAAAAAATGGAATTATTCTGATGCTCAGGAATAGTTTTCATGAATTATATATTAGCATTTGAATTTTATCAGCAAAGCATTTTAATATTTGAAAGATCCTCTCTTATTAACTGTTGAGATAGTTTTTCAACCTTATTAATTTTCCTGCTTTTTTTTTTTTACTTAGATAAAAATAATCTTTAAAACTTTTAGAAATACAAGGAAGAATTTGGCAGTAAATCCAATATTTTCATGTATCCATAAAAACCCTCAATATAAGGGTCTAAAATTTTAAAAACTAATTTAAATACCTGGCTCTTTATATTTTTAAAAGGAGAGATTACTTGTCTTTCACTTTGTTAGACATAATTTTTAATGGTACTATACATACATACACACACACACATACACATTGTACACACACACATACACATAATGATCTCACATAGACATGAACACACACAACATGACCTCAGTTTCCTTATCCAAATATGTTGGCACCTATATATCTTCCCTCTTGACAGATTTAAAACTGGCGTATATCTAGAATGTTGATCCATCTGGGACAGAGCAAAGGGTGACACCCACCCACCCACCCACCCACACACACACACACACACACACACACACACACTGCAGAGAGCACAGATTTGATTTGGTTTTGCCCATTTGCTGATTCCTTGCCCTCTTGATTTCCCAGAGTCAATCCAAACAAGATTGGATGCACACCTAATTCTTTGCACCAGGAGACTTTCCTAACATCAACTCGGCGAGTCTGATAGTTTCACATAGGTTCATTTCAACTATGCTATGTAATATACCCTCTTTGAATGGCAAAACCCATGGGATGTCCATATTGTTTTTTCAGGCTGATTAATCTATCCACTACCTAGAGCTGACTGGAATATCAACCTAATTCTAGTAAATGTTAAATGAAGAAAAATTCTACACTTCATATGAAACGGCATAACTCAAAAAGCACAACAAAAACCAGAAAGATGGTGGTGTGACTTATAAGAAAGTGCTTCTCAAGAGAAATAAAAGAAAATCCATGACAAAGAGCAACAGCAGTCTCATGTGCCTTAATATAGGAATCTCTACTTATTTGAGATACTTTGGAAAGTGTCATTCAGTTCCAAAACAAGCACATTTCCCCCCTCTGTCTTCTTGGAAGAGCCAGTTTATCATCTTTAATTCATGAAAAGCTACCTCAGATACAAAGCAGGAAAACAGATGCCGGAGTGCTGGTGCAAGACTGTCAACATGATAGATGCTTTAATTGGCAGGTCTTCCTCTTGTTCCGGCTGCTGGCAGAACTTCAATATTACTATCTTATTACCCTCCACAAAGTGGACATATCCTTGAAGGTACCGATTACCAAAAAATATGAAGAGTTTGGGCTGACTTACCTTTTGGATGCCATGGATCTGTAAACTCGTATTTCCCCACACCAACAGTCCGTAGCATCTGCACCCCATTTGTGTTGTCCTGATTGCCCGTCGGGTTAGGAGGAAGCTGAGGAGCAGCCTGCCCATTGGTGGCTGGAACACTATTAGGTAGGGCAGCTGAAGGCAAAGCAGGTGGTGGTGGAGGCAGGATAGGACAAGTCATGTGACCATTCCCTATTGCCCCATGGCCTGGGTGAGTCACCTGACCAACCCCAGTCATAGAAGACATAGTAATGGGTTGACTGTTTGTGTACAAAGGCTGGCTTTGCAGATTCACAACCATGTTACTGAGAGGCCGTGAAGGCTGCTGCGGAAGCTGGTAATGAGCTGGCATTAATGGAAGCTGGGGGGTAACATGTGGAGGGAGTGAGGGTGTGACTCCAATGACAGGGGCTTGGACGTTGACTGCTGGGCTGAAGGTCGGTGGCTGATTCATCCCATAAGAATGAGTTATAAGAGTTGGTTGGCTACCTGCTGCAACTGTTGTAACCCATGGAGCTGTACCTGGAAAAAGGAAAGCTAGCAATAAGAACAATTTTTGCAAAAGGTCAGTCCCCAAAATAGCTCCCTCTGAAAATGCGATTCTGTTGAGTCTGTCCCCTTCTCTCTCATAATGAGAGGAATGGACTGACATCAGTCCAAAATGGTAAGTGCAAAGCAGTAAATGCTATAATATGTCAGGAAAGCATCAGCGTTAAAAATCCTGATCAACGTGCAAGACAGTATGTTTACAGTTTTCTGTAATTTTCTGCTTCCAAGAAAATTAACCTCTTTCTCCAATGTGTTTTTGTGGCTCCCTGACAAACACTCAGTGTGTGTAATAATCATGTTCCAGCCGCTACAAAGAGATTATAATTAGGCGCCTAGCGAAGCTGGATGTGTCAGGAAACTGGAAAATATTTCAGGTGGCTCTGGACACAAAAAGAGACTTTATGTATTAAACGCATCTAGATAACACCGCAACCAAAGGACCTAAACCTAAAAACCGGGGGGATTTTATTATTATTCTGGCACAGGAACAGGAATAAACAGGAACAGAAAGGGCAGAAGAAAGAACTTTAACAAATTTGCAGCATTTTAATACGTTCATTATTAGCCATGGTATAGGCCATAGGAGTAACCTGAAGAGGTCTTTGTAACTAGAAACCAAAGCCAGCTGTGATATTAAAAAAAGGACTCACAATAAAGCCTTATTTAGAGTGGAATTGGAAAGAGCGTATTGAATTTGCTTTGAACAATTTTCTCCAGCAGAATTGCAAATAAGGCTGAAAGTATACCTGGGTTTTCAGTCTCCCTCATTTGTTTAGATGGTGGCTCATCTGTATCCCAGGGAGTAGACTGATTGATGGGTGTCTGTCCCCACCTTACACTGGTTGCTAATCCTTGTGGTTGATTATCTGTCTTGGAAATGGAAAGCGTCTGTCAGAGAATGAAAGAAAACATATCAAAATTAGACATATATACACAGAATCCTTATGGTGCTTTGCATGTTTTTGAATAAAATTTTATATTGCATTTAACTGGCCACGGGTGTCAAATTCAATCGCATCACGGGTCGGATAGTGACGTATCGTGATTTTTTTGCCTTTGCAGAACTGGAGTGGGTGTGGCCTATGCATGACGCATCTGGCCCGCAGGCCGCCAGTTTGACACTCCTGAACAAGGCCAACATTAGACACAGCAAGCTAAATATAGTTTTTATTGTTTGGAAGGTATTATGATTAATCCAACAATTGTTACCTTAAGGCGGCTATGAAAAGAACACTTCTTGTTGCAATATTTTTAGGATCAGACTCAATAATAATAATGAGAGTTAGAGGTTTAAATATATTTCTCTTTAATTATAATAGGCATTCTATATTCACTGAATATTCACAGATAGAAGCAAAGAAAATGGTGAAGGTGGCTCCTTATATATACAAAGGGTGGAGCCAAGAGTGGGAGTGGTGAATTATGAATACATTAAGAAACAAAGAATAAGTTAACCCCTGATATCCCATATATACATTATTTACACATTAGGGAATAAGGCATTTACATCTGACAAATCCCCCTCTAAATGCCGGTTCGCTATACAACACCAATTACATTCAGATTCAGGACAATATAAGACATACAATTTGGAAGTTAAGTATTTGTGCTGTTTAGAAGGTAAAGGCTTCGTCAATATGTCAGCTAATTGTTCAGAGGTATCACAATGCACTGCTTTGATAAATCCATCTTGAGACAATTGTCTCACATGCTTAAATTTTATATCTATATGCCTGGATCTTTGTCCAATGGCATCGGATCTAGATATTTCAATGGCCGCTTTATTGTCTTCATGCATAACAAAAGGCAAAGCAGGTTTTTTCCAAACATCTGAAATTAAATCATTAAACCATACAAGGTTATTTGCAGCTTTGGATAAACAAACATATTCCGCTTCTGTGGTTGAAGTGGCTACCAGTTCTTGTTTACCAGTGTACCAGTAAACTGGACAGTCATTTAACAGAAAAATATAACCAGAAATACTTTTTCTGCATGATATATCTCCAGCCCAATCCGCATCTGCGTAACATGTAAGTCTTGGTTCTTTATTATCACTAGGTTCTAATACTAGGCAAAAGTCTAATGTACTTTTCAGATATCTTAAAATTCTTTTGACAGCTTCCCAGTGATACATTGTTGGTTTGCTAACGTGCCTTGATAATAAATTGAGTGGTAATGCAATATCTGGCCTGGTCCAATTAGATATATAAAGAAGTGAACCTATGACTGATCTATAAAATGTATTATCCCTGAATTCAGGGGAAGATTCATCAGTATTTCTAAGGAAATCAGTTTGCATAGGAGTGTCACAGGGTTTGGCATTGTTTAAATTGCATTTGTTTAGAAGTTCAATAATCTTATCTTTCTGAGTAAGTTTGAATCCCCTTCTAGTTTTGTTAATTTGTACACCAAGGTATTTGTTTACTTTACCTAGAGATTTCAACGAGAAATGTTCATTTAACTTGTTTACAAAGATTTCTCTTCTCTCTTTGTGTTTTCCTATATATAAAATATCATCTACATAAATCAATACAAATTCAATGTGATCATCACTCTTTTTGACAAAGAAACAGTTATCAGCAGTGGTAGCGTTGAAATCCATGGTCTTAAGTACTTTTACCAAGCAATCGTACCATCTTTTGCCAGATTGCTTTAATCCGTATAAACTCTTGTTCAATAGCCAAATTTCATTTTTATTAGTGTATTGACTGTGAGGTGCTCTTACATATATTTCCTTATCTAGTTTTGCGTGTAGGTACGCAGTCTGTATGTCATATTGAAATACATCAAGATTGAGTGCGGATGCTACTACTAGAGCTGTTTTAACACTCTCTGTTCTTACTGTGGGGGAGTATGTGTCAGTATAGTCCTCCGGATATTTTTTGTGCATAACCTTGTGCAACCAATCTAGCTTTGTATAAGGTATTGCCTCCTTCTAGGTTCTTAATTTTATAAATCCACCTGGTACCAATAATTGTTTTATCTTTGGGTGCAATCGCAGGTGTGAATACATTTAATCCTTGCAAACTTTCCATCTCTTTTTTCATAGCTAGTTCCATTTTTCCTTTTCTTCATGAGGTAGTTTTAATACTTCTCATCATATGTATTAGGTGTTATTTGTTTCACCATCCATATGCATTATGTAATCTCTGTATTTATTTGGTATTTGATTTCTGTTGTTCCTAATAGCTCTTTCTGGTTTGCTATGGTAGTCATGCAAATATCTTGCTTCTTTTTTGTTAATGTGTCTGTCTTTATTTTGTGTTGACTATTTGTCCATGTTTTGGTTTTGTTTTTATTTTTTGTTGACATTTTGATTTTCTATTGTCCCTCACGAGATTTGGTATCTTTGCATTTATTCGGAAATATTTCATTAAGATGTAATTTAGACCAGTTGGCCTGTTCATGGAACACAGCTGTTCTGGAAACTATAAATTTATTATTATTATCAATGAATCTGTACCCTTTGGTGCCAGTTTCATATCCCATAAATCTTAGTCTTCTGGATACGTTTTCTCCCTTTCTTCTCAACTGTTTGGGTATGTGTACGTCTGCAGTGACCCCAAATATGTGCATGTGTGCTAATTTTGGTTTCCTATTATACATCACCTCATATGGTGTCTTATTCACAATACTGGACCAGGTTCTATTTTGAGTGTAATTTGAATAATGTAGGGCTTCTGACCAAAATTGTTTGCCTAAACCAGCATCCTCTAATGTGCATCTAATCATGGTTTGTAATGTGGAATTCTTTCTCTCTGCAATCCCGTTCTGGAACGCAGAAAATGGACTAGACGTGTAATGTAGCATTCCTCTATCCTTTAACCATTGGGAGAATTCTTTAGACATGAATTCACATCCCCTATCTGTCATAATTTGTTTTATTCTGATATTATGTTGTGTTTCTATGCGTTTGTAAAATTCCTTAAATTTTTGAAAGGTTTCATCCTTGTGTTTTAATGTGTAAACAAAACCATAGCGACTGTAATCGTCTACTATTGTTAGGAAGTAACGTTTTCTATAAGTGATTGATGGAGTTAATGGACCAACTAAGTCCATGTGTACTAAGTCAAAAATTTTGTTAGTTGATCTGGTGGATTTTTTTGGCCTGGGACTAGTTTTTAATTTAGTAGATTTACATACTGAGCATTCCAAATAATTTTCACAATTTTTTATTTTGATACCTTCTGCGTGTTCAGTCATTTTTTGTACTACAGGAAAACTTGCATGTCCTAACTTCCTATGTAAGATATGAGCACACTCGTCATGAATTGGTTTACCTATTTTTGGTTTCTTCTCATTGTGTGTATCTGTGTGATCATGAGATATTTTACATTCATCATTGTCACTGTTACTAATATTTTCATCATCTGCCTCAATACAATCTTCCATATTTGAATCAATGTTATGTAACCATCTTTCTTTTGTTATCAGATAGGGTAGGCCTCCTTTAATCATCACAGTGCCTACATTTGTTTTATTCTTCTCTAAAGTTGCTTTTCCCTTTGAGAAAACTATATTGATGTCAGAATCTCTGCTTAGTTTTATGGCACTTAGTATGTTATGAGGTATTTCTGGTATTAACAATACCCCCTCTATTTTCCTAGACCAGGCAAGGTCACATTCCCTCTGCCTAATACTTGAACTTTTTCTTGATTAGCTACCTTTATTACAAACTTATCTTCTGTAAATGAAGACAATATATTTTTGTTATTAGTGGTGTGATTAGTTGCTCCAGAATCAATAAGCCAATTATTGTTCTCATTTTGTTGCGTTTTAGTGCTGTCTTGTTTATTTAGTCCATTCAGTGAACCAGATTTTCTCTCTTTTGAATTTTCTCTGCCCCCTCTACTTTCTCTGTAATTTGGTGGGCTTCTATATTTATGTCTATCTGTGGAAGACTGTCTATAATTGTATTTATTCCTATATTCTGACCTATGTCTTTCCTTTGAAATTTTGGGACAATCTCTTCTATTGTGTTCTCTGGACCCACAATTGTGGCATTTAAAAGTTTCATTATATTTTTCTTGGAAAGCTACCTTCCTAAAAGATTTGTGTTCTGTGTGATTGCTATAACGATTTTTTCTTGAATTGTCTTCTGCTATCAATTTGTTAGACAGACTTTCTATTGACAAATATCCTAGATTGATGGTGTCTAAGTGTGACATAAAACTATCCCATGATGAATCAAGTGAGTTGATAATAACACTTTTCATTGTTTGATCTGAAATCACTTCCCCCCTCAAATGCAGCTCAGCTCTTATTTTGTTTAAAGATATTAAATGCTCACTTATGGAAACCCCTGGTTTTACTCTGGAAGAAAAGAAGTCCTTAGACATTCTTGTGGTGGTAGCTACACTATCGCTGTGAAACAAATTAAACATGCATTGAATTATTTCTGAAACAGTTAGATTTGGTTTGATGCTATGATACATTGCAGGAGACACGCTAGATATTATTAAGAAAAATGCCTTATGGTGTAAACAATCTATTTTTAAAGTCCAAGGTCTTCTTGGGGGACTAGTGATAAAAAATAGTAAATTTTCTTTCATAAAGACAACCTGGAGCTGTTGATACCATTCTTGTAAATTAATGCCATCAACCCTAAGTTTTGGGAAGTCACTGGGTAAGTTACCCACATTATTTTGTCCATTACTTACAACCTGAGGTAGTCCGTGGTCTCGCAAGTGTAGGAAATTGCAAAACGGCATGGGAATGCTCGCAACGAGTCTGCGCGGTTCTCTGGCCAGTTCAAGTCTTTCCGGACCGTCTACGTAGTTTCGCACATGCGCGTTGTTCATTTCTTCTTTGACGTCGTCGTGGAAGGTTCTCTCCATTGTAGCTCGCTCGCTCCGCTCCTCTTCAGACGAGTCGGTCTCTGGCTCGGT